GAGATCGTCTGTGCGATAAAAATGTTATGATTATGATTTGGGCACATGGAGGTCGTCCATAAAAAATTTGTTTGATTATGATAGTAAGTTGATATCATTCGCACAGTCACGTGGAGATCGTACTTGTCGGTATATGGACCTTGCGAGTCCCCCATGGGTCAAGAAATCTCAATGAATTTCTAAGGAGTATCATATATGTACGGTTGAGAGAGAAATTGGTATTCTGAGGCATATTATTTCATAGTATCATATTTCATTGTATCCCATGACATCCTTCATTCTTTGATGATTATATGTTTTACTGGTGATTGGAAAGTACTTGATATTCAAGTACCTCTATTTGACGAACTTGATCTTGTGTATTGCAGATATTGTGAGTGACTTTTTGTGACAGTTTCAATTGTTGAACATTGAGTTTGTAATTGAGGATGTGCAAATTTGTAGAAATGATTTTTGATAAGATGGGTGCTACGAAAACTGTGAACAATTGGACTGAGTTTTATGCAGATTGTAGTTGTGGAGGTTCGGTTAGTGTGTAAGGGATACCTGTATTTTATCCCATTGGCTTGTGTTTAAAATTTTACTCGTTGGGTACTGTGTGATTTGGTACTAACCCCTTGCTATTACAATTTTTTTTGTAGGTTACTATCCCGGACTTTGTGATATTTTCTCTTCTCCTTGTCTGAGGCTTCTTGTGGAGAATTGTGAGGTAGCTGCTTGTTTTCTCAGAAGACCTTCTTACTCCTATTTATGATCTTTTTCTATTAAAGAAACAATGTCATTTGATACTAAAAAAAAATTTCTGAATCGATTGTAATACATTTGATACTTGTATACGTGACAACCAGATTTTGGGGTACTTTTAAGTAACTTATGAAATTTTTGCATTTTATTGTAATGGTCGAGTTTTAGGCTGATTTGTCTTGGTGAAACGAGACGAGTGTCATCACATCCATTTTTGGATTGCGGCAGTAATAACTCATAAAAAATGAAGAAATACATAAGATGAGGTAATAACTAATAGGAATAATTAAAGATATGTCTAGAACTATTTAATTTTCTTGTTATCATTCTTCGTAGATTTTTGTTTGCATGAAGTTACATTTTTACCTTTGGTCATTATTCAATTCAAATATCGAAAGATGTTTCTAGAATTACTTATTCTTGTAAGATTTTTATTATTATGAAATTTAATTTTTATTTGTGGTCATCTTTAATACAAATATATCATCCTATTCATTTTTATTTGTAATGTTACTTTTTAACATTTTTTTAAATTAAACCTAATATATATTATTAATTATATGACACTTATTTATTTTCAAATATATTAATTAGAACCAAAATAAAAGATGAAAATAATTAATTCATGATAAATTTTTGTATAAAAAGTAATATTTGTTATAAGCATAATGAATTGAAAAAATATTATGAATTAAATTAAAGTAATATTAAAAAAGAGTAATAATAAAATAGATACCACAATAACTCACAGTAAAAAAGTGAAGTAATAACAAAATAAGTTAATGGTAATAATAATAACTTGAGATGTTTCTAGAACTATTCAATTTTCTTGTTATCATTCTTGGTAGATTTTTGTTAGTGTGAAATTGAAATTTTGCACTTAGTCATTATTCATTTCATATATAAAATGATGTTTCTAGAATTATTTATTATTTTTCATAATAGGTTTTTATTTGCATTAAATAACATTTATGCCCTTGATCATCCTCCACTTCACTCTTCTATATAATAGATAAAAAAATAGTTATTTCATGATAAATTAGGAAACATTTTTATAAGCATAATGAATAGAAAAAATACTAAGAATTAAATAAACATAATATTAAATTAGAGTAATAATTGAATAGATATCACAATAACTTACAAAAAAGAGTGAAGTAATAACAAAATAAGTTAATGGTAATAACAATAACTTAGGATGTTTCTAGAATTATTTAATTTTCCTATTTAATGGTAATAATAATAACTTAATATGTTTCTAGAATTATTTAATTTTCTTGTTATCATTCTTGGTGGATTTTTGTTAGTGTGAAATTACATTTTTATCCTTGATCATTATTCACTTCATATATAATTAGATGTTTCTAGCATTATATAATTTTTTTGTCATCATTCTTGGTAGATATTTGTTTGCTAGAAGTTAAATTTTACCTTTGATTGTCATTCACCTCATATATAGAAAGATGCTTATCCAATTATTTATACTCGATAAATTTTTGTTAGAATGAAATTACATTTTTATTCTTGGTCGTCTTTAATCCAAACATATCATCCTATTGATTTTTATTTGTAAAGTTACTTTTTAACATTTTTCTCATTAATTTCAATCTAATATATATTATTAATTTAATCACACTAATTTATTTTCAAGTGTATTATGTAGAACCAAAATAAAGATGGAAATAATTAATTAATGATAAATTAGTAAACATTTTTTATAAGCATAATAAATAGAAAAAATATTAAGAATTAAATAAATGTAATAGTAAAATAGAGTAATAATGAAATAGATATCACAATAACTCACAAAAAAAAGTGAAATAATAACAAAATAAGTTAATGGTAATAACAATAACTTAAGATGTTTCTAGAACTATTTAATTTACTTGCTATCATTATTGGTAGATTTTTGTTAGTCTGATATTAATACATTTTTGCCCTTGATCATTATTCACTTCATATATAAAAAGATGTTTATAGAATTTTTTAGTATTTTTCTTAATAGATTTTTGTTAGCTTAAAATTATATTTTTGCCATTGGTCGTCCTCCCACTTCACCTCTTCTATATAATATACTAGATAAGTATTGTCTATGCTAAGCACGGACCCGCCATGTAATATTATTCGTGATCTATAATTGATTAATATATATTTGACAATCACATAGAGAAATATAAAATAAATAAAAATAGGCCAAATACATAAAACAGATTCCTAAACTTGTTGTGTTTTTTCCGTTACGTATCTCAACTATGCCATTTTCTTATTCAATCATTGAACCGCTTGTTCCTTTTAAACATCGTTAGTTGATTTTGATCAGCTTTTCTATTGTAAATGTCTTCGATTGTGTTCTTATTATAATGACAAAAGATCTATCTACAATACACATGAATTCAGTTCCTCTAGATTCTTTGAAAGAAGAGGAGGCAAACTACATATCCTGGGAATCAGAAGGGTAAACTATAAGCAAACCTTACTACTAACTCACTACTAACTCGTGAAACAAAAGATTGTGTCATATATGTGCATGTATGAGTCTTCAAATCAAAGGGCATCTCTTAAGCCCTGCACAGTTATATCTGTTAGTGACTCATGTAGAGCAGAATACACTAGCCTCATACCAGTTAACTATAACCATAATATACACTTTATCCAAAAATTTGTAACAATTGACATACCACAGTGTATTACCTAAATATGTGGTTTATTGGAGTGTTAAAAGTAATTTTCTATTTTAATCATACTCGTGAGATCTAAAATTGGAGATATTAGAGTCACGACGGAGAGGATCAATAAAGAAAGCAACAAATAATTGACCAACGAAGAAGGTTGAAGAGCTTATAGGTGTCAAGACTTGACAATATTACTACTATCCTCTCTCATTAACTCTTTTATTCATTGAAGAAAGCCAACACTGTCAAATACAACATCTAACACACATTTTCATTGTTTGAACTGGAACTAAACTCAAGTGGACATGTCACACACTTATCGTCGAAAACCTTTGATGACATCTCTATCAACTATTTCTCTTCTGTTGAATCAAATTTTTCAAAATTCTTTCAAATGATCAATACAGTAATAGAGATTACAACTATATAAATATATATCCAACATATATATATATATATATATATAT